CGACTTTTATGAAATAGACTGCCTTCGTGGACCTTAGCGACATCTCTTTCAGGAAAAAAAAGTTCTTTATAAATTATCCACTTGGCGGCTTTACTTCCATTATTTTATTTGCATTCCAGATCTGCTCTGTGGTCATTCTTTATAAGCTCCTCAGAAGTTAGAATCCATTATCAATCAGCATGCCGTTGAGAAAACAGAAACCACTTCAGGCATTTCAGAGGGAGATTTAATACCGGGAACTGGTTACAACTTTGTTGAAAAGGGCGGAGGAGCGAAACAGGAAGGTGCTGTCACCGGAGATAAGTATTTACAGAAACTACCAAGCCCCTTGGGCTGCAGGAACAAAAAGGGAACCGGTGTGGCCACCGCCTCTGAAATGCACGAAGTGCACGAAGTGGTTTCTGTTTTCTAGACGGCATGCTGATTGATAATGGATTCTAACTTCCGAGGAGTTTATAAGAATGACCCCAGACGGGGCGCCTGGGTGGCTCAGTCGTTAAGCGTCTGCCTTCGGCTCAGGTCATGATCCCGGGGTCCTGGGATCGAGCCCCGCATCGGGCTCCCTGCTCAGCGGGGAGCCTGCTTCTCCCTCTCCCGTTCCCCCTGCTTGTGTTCCCTCTCTCGCTGTGTCTCTGTCAAATAAATAAATAAAATCTTTAAAAAAAAAAAAAAAAAAAAAAGAATGACCCCAGAGCCGATTAGGAATGCAGATAAAATAATGGGGACCCAAGTGCCCTGGCCTCTGAGCCTCCTGCCGCTGCTGTTTCTGCTGCTGTGGGGATCCCCCCACCGGCCACGGAGCAGTCAGCTCAGAGCCCCCCACGCTGACAGTTGGGGGGCTGCTGGGACCCAAAGACACCTGCAGGCACTCAGAACTCCTGCTGCTACAGCCTAAGCAGAAAAAAAAAAAAAAAGCTTTTCCCTTATGCGTACTTTCTAAATCTCCCGTGAATGCTTCTCATTAGCAGAACCTAAATGGAAACCAGCTGGCAGGGGATGGTGGGAAATGTGGTTTCTGGACTTCGGGCCCCGGCAACACAGAGAGGGGTATAAAAGAGCGAGTGCGGGCTGTGAGCCAGCGCGGACAGAACTCGGCCACCACGCCGGCCAGAGCTACCAAACTCCACTGCCTTAGAATTCCGCACATCATATGGATGGGTCTCAAGTGCACGTGATGATCCTCAGTTACGGCCCTGGGATCGCACACGGCGAAAGCTTAAGGAGAGTCATGGCATTTATGTATACATAAAGAGTACGTGGGCGGGGAGAAGAGTGAAACAAATCCCCGCTCCACCTGGGGTTTAAGAGCCCAAAGCCAGCCCGGCTTCCTTGGCGGACATGCCAGGCCACAGTGAGGCTGAAGCATGGGCTTCGCGCAGAATCCACCGCCTCTGTTCCCACCGCCTTCTCAGTCAGCCTCCTTCAGGTGGCAAGAAAGACAGAGTCCCAGTGACCTCTGATGGCGGGGGTCTTAGGTGGGGTTGCCCTGGAAACAGATTCTGAGACAAAGATTTGCATACAGGAAGTCGATCAGGGAGGGCTCTCAGGAACAAGACCTGGGAGAGAGGAAGTGAAGCAAGATGTAGCAAAGGGACAAGTGAAATAACGCAGCTGTAACCATGGCCTCGGTCATCCCACGGGGACTTCTGGATCCACGGTCCTTCACAGTTGTCCTGAATTGAGGCAAGGGGGTAGAACTTGTCCCTTCATGACCATTGGATGTAGGCTGCCCCCCAGGAAGGGGGCATAACCGTCCCTGGCACAGCCCCATGTGGGTGCCGGGCAACTCAGCAGCAGCCAAGATGCCCGGCGGCTGGCGAAATGAGTGCCTCCATCCCAAGGGGGCCCTGGGGCAGCACACGACAGCGTCCGTCAGACAGAGGGGCCAGGAGTAGGGTGGAAATCCACTCCTGTCCAGGCCACAGTGCCCAGCTACCGTGGCGGTGCCCCCTGCGCTGGCAAGAGAGAGAATCCGGCCACCACCCTCGCCTGAGCCGCTGTCCCTTCACACCGGGATTACTGGCTGCCAGAGGCCCCAGTTTCTCTGTGTCTTTGTTTCTACACAACCATCCCATCTCCATCCAGTAGCCAGAACCATCTTCCCAGATCTTGCATCAGATCATAGTACTGCTTTGCTCAGCCTCCCCGACTCCGGGGCTCTTCCCTGCACTTAAAATCACCTCCAGAGCCCTGTCGTGGCCTCCAGGTCGGACGTGACCTGGCCCCTGCTGACCTACCCGCGCCCTCGCCACGCCGGCCCTTCCTGTTCCTGCCCTGACTTCGCACTCTGCTTGGAGCAGCCCCCTCTCGCCTTGCGGCCTGTGGCTCTCCTATCAGCTCTTGGGCGACCTCTTTCCTGACTGCACAACCGACCCGTCCCTCGCCCAGCCGCTCCCTCTTACTTTCTTCACGGCACTCACCACGAACTAAAGTCATCTTGTGCCTTCATTGGAGAACTTGTTTCATTTGTCTCTCCTCATCAAACACAAAGCTCTCCAAGAGCAGGAATCAGCACCTGGAAGCTAAGTACGTGGCCCAAAATAGGCAAGTATTTGTGGAAGGGCAGAATTTCATGGAAATCATCTGACTGGCACGTGGGCTTCCTTGTCGACGTTGACTTGGCTGGGAGAGTGGTCCCCATCCTGTCAGCCACGGGCACGGTGGCAGAATTGGCTTTAGCGGTCAGACCCAGTGGGTGCCATGGTAACTTCTTCAGGAAACAACCAGAAGACACATCTCCCTCAGAAGGGGGCTTCCTGGCTTCTTCTCTGTGCAGACCACCCGGTATAGCCCAATTACCCATCTGTGCGTCCTTCATTACCCGCCGATGAAGTTCACGGCGGCTCGTGTGGTTTGAGAACGCAGTCACTTGGGGGCTTCTGTTTCTGAGAGGTGAGGATGCCTGGGCAAAGACCCAACAGTTTATCCCTTTGCCGGATGACACCATGTGATATGGAAAATCTCCTCCCAGGGGTTGGAAAGCTTCCTGGTGCTTAAAGTCTTTTTTTATTTCAGCTCTCTGCTATTAAACATTTTAAAATAAAAATTTACTACTGCCATTTACTGCGTGCCCATTGTAGGTCGGGAGCTGTGCTAGGTCCGTAACTCGGGTGCTCAGGAACGTGCCCAAGGGGGCACTGAAGCCGGGTTTGGGATACTCGGACACGGGCCTCCTTCCACTGCATTATCTGAGAGCTTAAGGAGCCACATTAGTAAAAATAGTTATCGTGAGGAAAATAAAATGTGACCGCTCTCACTTCAAAGACGGACTAATTTGTTTTGTTTACCAAGTAAAGGGAGGTTCTCTTCCCCACCTCGTACTCCAATCCAGTGTCATTCCGTCCAAGCTTCAAAGACCATTTCATGTCCTTTTTCATTTAACTAATAAAGGTTCTGCAGAATTTGTCCACATTTTATATCTAGAAGCCTTTGGAGTTCCTCAGAGCGTGGCAGGAGGTGGGCAAATTAGATCCCCACCTTCATCAAACCAAGAAGTGTCCTCCCTGTCCCCCCCCCCCACCGTCTGTGTCTTTCCCAGCTTTGCAAAGTGCTCTATTTGCATAAAAGTGAGCCTTTTGCACAATGTTCTGTGTTTTTCAATCATCCCTAGAAATCAAATCACAGCGTCCATCTCACCTTACACTGAAGTGTTTTCACACTCCCGGGAATTGCGTGCCATCACCTGAATAATATGGAATTTGCTGGCCATTACTTTCAAACTGAAAGTTCTTGCGGCTGTCTACAGGATTTCAAAGAGGTGTCAAAGTGGCCTTCTGAGGTGCTTCTCGTTCTGAGATCAGGTTGAGTGATTCTCTTTGTTCGAAAAGCCGCAGGGCCTCAGACTTTGGGTTTCCACCTAGGGAAGATACTTCTTGGCACTTTGTCCTGAGCATTGAGTGGGATCTGAAGTATCGTCTATGCTATGACCTGATGACGTAAGAGCATAGTGAGAGTAAAGCGGTGTCCCTTTAAGACCATTGCTTTTCCTAATTGCACGGTAATGGAAAGAGAGAAAGGAATTTATTTCTGGCTGAGGAGCAACATGCTGTAGTGAAATGGCCTGGGCATTAAAATCAAACTTGGATCTGACTCCCAGCAGCCTCACCTACAGGACCTAATACAGAGCGCATAACCTCTCTTGGTCTCAGTTTCTTGATCTGTAAAATGAGGATCATCCCCCTTTCCACTCGAGCTTGTCAAAAAGATTCATTGATATAACGTGTCGATTTCCTGGCACGGTTACAGAATTTTGATGGGTCGTGTATTAGCAAGGAGAGATCCCACCCCCTCTTTATGTTCCCGATTTATTTAGCGCAGCATATGGAAGCCCGGTATCAGCCAGCAAGGCAGATGCTGCAGATGATGCCGTCTGGAGCCCCCGGGGCCCCTAACGAGGGATGCTCAGCTGCCTGTGACACACAGGCCTCGCTGGCTCAAGAACCTTCATTTTGTGCTGCCCCGTAGCCCATTTATAATTGGGGCTGATGTCACCACTCAGGAAGAACTTACAAAAACATTCTCTGTCCTTAATAAGAAATACTAACTGACCTCCAGCCCCCTTCTGGTTCTCACGCCAAACAGCCTCAGCAGAGCCACGCATCTTAATGGGTGAGGACCAGGAGCAGAGTCAGGGCCAGGCCCCGTGGGCCTCATCTCTGCCTCCATCTTTCTAGCACCCTGGAAGACCTTGTCTCAAGATAACACAGGATACGTGGGGGTTTCATGGATGATCACAGTGGTAATGATGACACATAGCTCAGCTTTAATTCACATGTGTTAGTTCTGTTATTGATTTTGTTCTCCTCCAGTTAACCAGGTAAAGTCACAACCAGTTTTAAAACAGTTAGTTTAATTTTGCATCTGCAGCCCCACGGGAATCTATTTTTTTCCCCAATATTAGTAATCACATTGTACCACTTACGAATTGCAGTTGAGATCAGTAGTGTTTGAGCTAATATGGCATTTCTCTTTTGTTCTTGTTTGTGTTGTTTTGTTTTTAGGGTCAAGTTGTGTTCCGGAATGGGGAGAGAATGGGGACCATTAAATTTACTCAATTTCAAGGTAGGCTTTCTGGTGCTTATTCTTTCTAGTTGATGAATTCTATATTCGGGGATGTTGTGTTTCTGCAATAAAATACATCAAAAGAAATGAAAGTATGATGTTCCAGATAAGAGAAAGCAGAGTCAATAGAAAACACTTCTCTGTGAAAACATTATTTTCAACTTAGAATATTTTTCTCAACTGCATGACTTCTCAGGCTATTCAGTCTCCCCACGTGACTCTGAGAGGCTCATGGAAGTATGAGGGTGGGGGTTCAATCCCCTCCAGTATTCTGAAAAAGCTTGCATTATTTTTGTTTTTGATGATAGAAATTTTCAAACAGACCCTAAAGTTGAGAGGACCACATAATAAACCCCATGTACCCATCACCTGGCTTCAACCATCATCAACATTTTGCCAATCTTGCTTTATCTTTACTCACCCACTGCACCCTTTTTTTTTTTTTTGCTATAATGTTTAAAGCAGCTCCCAGACATTATCTCATTTCAATCTATAAATACTGCAGTATGCATTCCTACTAGATAAGGACTTTTCAAAACATAGCCATGATACTATTATCCTACCTAAAACATTTAACAATGATTCTTAATATCCTTTCATTTCTAGTCTGTGTTGATCCTCTGATTATCTCCAAAATGTCTTTACAATTTGTGGGAGAACCCACACAATGGCTGGTTGCTATTTCTCTTTAATCTCTTTTAACCCATAATCATCCCCCACGTGCTTGTAACAGGTCCTTAATTTTTATTCTAAGAAACCAGGTCGCTTTTTGGACTTTCCTGGTGTCCATGTTGGAAGGGGCTCAGAAACCTTCCAGACCACTTTCCTCAAGTGGGCAAGGTGGAAGTAGAGGCCCGGAGAGGGGCAGGGGCTTGTCAGAGCCCACAGGGCATCTGTGAGAAGCGGGGCTGGGCTTTCCTCCAGGTAGACACCTCCATGCAGCCCGGTACGGCCATCAGCAGGGTCGTTAGCCAAAACCACGAGATGCACCGTTCTTCACTGCAGTGTTTTTCAGCATCTGGATGTTTCTGGAAAAATCCAGGAACAAGAGCAGTGACTTTGCGTCAGATCCCAAAGTCATCCAGGGGAAAGCAAGAAATGAAATCGAGTTATTCGGGTTCATTCAGACAAATCCCACTGGATTTAGCTCAATGAGGAGAGGTGTTCGGTACTGTGGCTCAGTAATGCAATCTTGTAGATTTACCCATTCGTCTTCCCGTGGCAGGTAATTGAAACGCATGTCAGCTCTCTGGCATGCGCGAAAGATGTAATTTTCGGCAAATGTAATTATTTTCCCATTTGTTAAGTCTTGTTTCTTCATTGGTTGAACCAAGTAAGCATCTTGGCAAAGATACTTACTTTTTTTTTTTTTTGAGTGATTGTAACTAAATTCTCTTGTCACATTTCCAGTTCTCAAATTATATCATTCTAGGAGAATATTTTATAAAATATTGATTGGCCGATCACAGCTACAAGTGCGTGCCAATTTTATTGCCTTTTTTTTTCATATGTTAGGATTAGACACCAACTCCAGTGACCAGTTTTGGGCATTTATAAGGAAAGCAATGGAGCAAACAATAGTTCAGAGTGGGTCTGACCTACCTTAGCTCAAGTTGATGTAGCACATTAGGCAAGTAACTTCACCTGTGTGAAGTCCTCATCTGTGAAATAGGAATATAATCCTACCTATCTTCTCGGAATGTGGAAAGAACTCGATAACACATAGAAATATGTGCATATATTTCTTGCTCAGCAAGTAGCAGCAATTATGATTAGCACTGTGTCAAAAAAATTATGACACTTTTCTGAAACAAATCCAGATTCTCTTGGTGTGTTGAAACCCCCAGGTGCCTTTATGTCTGCCTGCCCTTTATAGCTGTTCCCCACACTTAGCCATATGTAGGATGTCAGATACAGCAGGGTCTAAGAGATGATCCTGGGGCCCAGGGGAGGGAGGTGTTCCCCCCCGCCCCGGGACACAAGCTGGTTAGTGGCAGAGCTAAGATGGGACCTCAGCTTTCCCCTTGTGCTCACAAGCACACCTACACCTGAATGTTTTCCCTTCACCACATCTGTGCCCAGTTTTTAGTGAACGTCAGAGCTGAACCTGCACATGCTTCTCTTTATATGTTTTTAAAACAAACATTGATCCTGTTGACAGAGGGATTCTGTGTTATTTCGGGACTAAAATGAGCCACTAGAATGCTGGGGGCATGTTCGTGTCCTCACAAGAGTTAGTTTTCCAAATATAGAGGGTCTCAGAGGTGCATTGTCTGCCAGGATGGAGCGGCGCTGAATTATTGAGCAGGTTGCCCAACCTGGGAGGGTGCCTGGTTATCATCTCGTTTCACAGAATGGAAACTGAGGCCCAGACAGGGGAAGGGACTTTCCTGGGGGAGACCCTGACTCACCATGGGATGGTGAGTTCATTCCTTCCCTTCTCTGGGCCCATGCTTCCCTGGGCTGGCCCGGACTCTGTTTTCTGGGACTTTCCAGGATTTACCCCGAGAATTGCCTCATGCCGTGGGCCTTTCAAAAAGGCTTCTAAATAGAGCCCCGTGTTGTTTTCTGCCATGTCCTTCACACCACCTCTCTCCCTGTCTGCTTGTCTCTCCCTCACCTCCTGCCTCATCTTTAGAGGGGACAGTGAACAGCAGAGCTGGCTCGCTGACAGTCAGCCCCGGTGGTGGAGGATCCCTTTGCAGGGGCTGCTTCGAGACTCACACCCAGGCTGTCTCAAAGCTCACTAACCTGATCTTGGAAGCTGGTCCATCCCACCTTTCCTCTGAAGACCTCACGCGATGCTCTTTCAGCTCTTTATTTGTGCAGGGCCTTCCGAACCCTTTTACCTACCGTAGAGGAAGCATTGCATCGGAGGCTCCGTTAATTCCTTTGCAAAACTAAAACACAGATGAGTTGGAAATGGGAGGTAGCTTTGGGAAGAAGACTAAAAGGGGAGCCAAGAAGCCATGGCCCTGCACTTCTTGATTCCACGGCTGTAGGGTAGCACAAACACCTGGCGCTCAGTAGGCCCCCAGTGCAAGTTTATTGATTTAACCCGGAGGCAAAAGACCTGGGTTCAAGTCCTTGCTCTGAAACTCAGCAGCAGTGTAACCCTGGGCAAGTTACTTCATCTCCCTAAGCCTCAGCTTAATCCTCTGGAAAATGGGGTGACACTAAAGCCAGCCCTGCCCAGCTCCTGGGGCTGGGGAAAGGGCCAAATGAGATTTTGCTCTATGGCTTCTCAAGCCTGGGAAGCACGTCCCATTACTGACATGATGCCTGGCTCCTGGCTGGCTCTTGGTAATGTTTACTGGATTCGTTGGTGATAGGACTTGTAGAAATTTAAGAACATCTTCATTTATTTGTGGTTTCTGGTGACTTGTCTGGCAAACAGCAGTTAGCCTTGACAGCAGAATGTGAGCGGAAGCTAATTCAAGATGGTGGCCATTGTTGTTTCAGGCTGGAGAAACCATGTGTCTTGTCAACAGGACTGTTCTAAAATAATGTGCCAGGGTTAGCCCCCCGGCCCCTCTTGAGACCGAGGCATTTTTAATCCAAGGAGGGTTTCAGATCCCTAAGAATGACCTTCCTCACTCCCAGCTTCCCTCCATTTACATTGTTTTCAGGGGTTCCCAAAGCTTTTTTTTTTTTTTTTAATTTTATTACGTTATGTTAGTCACCATACAATACATCGTTGGTTTTTGATGTGGTAATCCGCGATCCATTGTTTTCGTAGCTTTTAACTCCCAGCAGGACAATGTAGATGGTAGGTGGGAGATGCCGTCAATGACACATCCATACTCCCAGAGCATCCACAATTCCAGAACAAATGCCTCATGAAAAGCACCTGCACCCCTCACCCTATGCAAGGAGTAGGCCATATGTCAGGGAATTGGTGCTTCCAGGGACACCTTGTGCCAGGGAGGAGAGAGAAGCAGAGGATAAACCACCCAGCATCCTTCCTCTTGGGTGGGGCAACTGCAAGGTATATTCTGCTCTGTCTCCAGGGGTCCCCAATGGAATCGTGCCTCAGTTGCCCACCCAGAAACCTGCTCATGCATGCCCCCAGACTGGCTCCCTTCCCTTTCCTGTCTCACCTCCCCACACTTCTTGAGTGTGCCGCAAGACCACCTCCCAAATCAATTCCGTGTCCTCCTACTCTTGTCTCAGGTGCAATTCTGAGTGACATACCTGTGGTCAGAAGCCGACATTGGCATCCTGCTGGCCACACACCTTGCAGGAGGGCCAAGGCCTAAACCCCTTCTGACTCCACATTCAGTTGCCCTCCCCCTGCCCATGCTGGTGCTGACTGCCTTTAAACCACGTGTATGTGAGCATGAATGCCAGGGAATTGGCTTCTTTCTTCCCTCAAGAGAAGAAAGAATCCATGTTCCTGCCGAAGTCTAAACATCGTTCAGAATTTGCAGCAGGGAAGGAAGTTGAGTGAAGCCATGATTAGAGCCTTGTTTGTGCTGTTCTTTGGGAGCTCTCAGCATCTGCACGCTCGCCCGCTCACCGGCCCTGCCTTCATTAGGCCTGTTTGTCAGAGTCTTGGTGAGCGATAATGTGCTCGAATTTCACACGGCTTCTGTGCAACATAAAGGGCTCAGACTTCGGACTTTTCTATTTCAGCACCTGATTTGAAGGCACGGGGTCTTGCATCACTCCAACAGCATGATTGTCATTCAGAAGGTACCTAGTGAAATGTAGGCTTGTCCTCCCCATTTGCAGACATTAACTACCGTTTGGTCTTTGGGGTAACAGATACTGTTCTATTCAGTGCACATTTCCTGAGCATCTGCCAGGCGCTTTACCAAGTCCTCTGAGGGAAGCCAAGTTGAATAAGATACAGTCCCTGCCCCCTGGGGGCTTCATAATTTTTCTGGCCCAGTGCCAGGGTCTATAAAAGCAGGAAGATGATTTCCCAGAACTGACTAGAAAACTTTCGGAGCTAGTTTGACTCTAGTTTGAGATGCTTGAGGCCGGTTTTTAATGTC